GTGATTCACCGCGACGGAAAGAATCAACCCGTAGAGAGCACTTAATCCTTGCGCGGATCAAGGGGAAGCTACACCCTTGCGTGGGTGTTCCAACGAGGACTAGTGGGGAGTGGCGACTCTCCGATACCTCGGCAAAACATCGCCGCGTTCCTCCTTCTCTATTTACTTTGAGCATTTACTTTGAGCATTTACTTTGAGCAATTAAATTTTGTTTTTTCATTCATATAATTGCCATGCTAGAGTAGGATTGGAACTTAGGTTGGAAGTCTTTTGAAACACTTTCTAGGCATAAGGGGTTAATTGAGCTAACCATAGAATTTAATTATTGCAAAGAAATTTATAATTAGCCCAATTCACCCCCCTCTTGGGCATCTTAATCCTTTCAGGTAGGTTGGTTCGGCTCTCGACGAGGACGTCGAGTCCTTAAGGGTGGATGTATGTGAGACCCCGCTAATGGGTCAAGTTGGGCTGGTCTGATGGGCTGAGCCGAGTTGCCCACATTGGAACCTGAAAGGATACCGAACCAACTTAAAAGTCTCGGTCTAGGAAGCTGTTAACTCCGGTTCGAACATTTTGTGCGAAGCGATGACGAGAGCGCAAGATTGTTAATTAACAGGTATGGTACATTCAAAGTGTAGAGTGGATATTAGCCGTCTTTCCGGGCTGGGGTGTTACAAATGGTATTCAGAGCGAACTCTCGCTGTTTCACGAACATATTGGTCGGGAGCTCGGACAGGCTGCGCATAGCTCTACAAGAGCATGGCACTTGGGCCGGGGAGCTGGGAATATGGTCGTGGGCCAAGAGAGTCAATCCTGTACATTTGTCCTGTTTGGGTAGGTTGGTTCGGCCCTTGACGAGGACGTCAAGTCTTTAAGGGTGGGTGTATGTGAGACCCCGCTAAATGGGCTGGTCTGGTGCTGGGAGGTTATTAACTCCGGTTCGAACCTTTTGCGCGAAGCGAGGACGAAAGCGCAAGAGAGTTAATTAGCAGGTGTGGTCTATTCAAAGTGTAGAGTGGATCTTAGTCGTCTTCTCAGGCTGGGGCGTTACAGAGCATCTCTTCTTAAACTCACTCTCTAAATTCTTATTTGTCATTTGAATAAAAAATATCCTCTATGTTATTTTTCTACGTTTGGTTGGCTCAGCCTCGATTGGGCGATGACCAAATTACAGCGGCCCCAGCAGCTTCGAGCAGCTACCGCGTTTTCTCTGAAGAATAGAGAGAGGCCGGCCGGGTGCACGGACGCATGCTGCATGCACCGGCCTGGTCCGCTGGTCGTGCGCGGCGCGTAAGGGCCTAGGGGCCATAATCCGGCACTCCGGCGCACAGGGCCGGGCCAGGGCGGCGCATGCCGCACCCGGACACCCTGTCGAGAATCGGGGTTGTGCACAGGGTGAGGACTGAGGGTGGTGCTGCGAGCGCGTCACACGGCAGCGGCCGGGCACGGCACGCGCTGTGCACACCCCTCGTGAAAAAACTAGGGACGACAATACACTGGGCCTTTCCTTAACACACACACACACTGGGCCGCCACGCCGTTGGGCGGGATGGGCTGGCCTGCGATGGAGGAAGGCGGCCGCCTAGAACTCGGGCCGATGGTACCATTGGGCCGTTAGCGGAAGAAAAAAATCTACATTATCTTCCTCAACTTTCGCGAAAATCCGCTTTTCCTCCTCAAATTCCAAAACCGGGCAAAACAACTCCCTCAACTTTTAAAACCGTTCATCTTACCTCCCCGGCCCTGTTATAAGGGGTTTTGAAGGCGGTTTTGTCTTTTTATTTTTTATTTATTTCGGCTGAATATATGAAAAATCATAGTAAATTACAGAAAAATCATAAAATGGAAAATCCAATTTTGTTGAACTCCACATGAGTATATCTACACAGTGAACATATAATATGGTATGATTTAGTACAAAATTTTTACTGTGACTTTAGATCTATGTTTTTCTGTAATTAAATAGAATAATTCATAACTGCAGTTTCTATGGTCCAATTATGGTGAAAATTTTATGGTGGGCTAATTATTGTATGCTTAAACTGTAGTAAAAATTTCATACTTATTGGATCATGTATAACATAGTTATAGATTTTATTTAAGTTTATGCTTGTTAAATATAAATAAATCTATAACTAAGCTATACATGATCGAATGAGTATGAAATTTTTACTACAGCTCAATCATACAATAATTAGCCCACCATAAAATTTCACCACAATTGAATCATAGAAACTGATCTATGAATTATTCCAATTAATTAGATAAAAGTATAGATCTAAAGCCACAAAGAAAAAATTTTGTATTAAAGCATACCATATTATATGTTCACTATGTAGTTATACTCATGTGAGTCCCAAAAAATAGATTTTTCATTTTATGTTTTTTTGTGATTTACTATGATTTTTCAAAGATTCATCGAAATAAATAAATAAAAAAGACAAAACCACCTTCAAAACTGCTTATAACAGGCCAAGAAGGTAAGATGAATGGTTTTAAAAATTGAGAGAGATGTTTTGTCCGGTCTTGTAGTTCAGGGAGGAAAAACGGACTTTTACGAAAATTGAGGAGGTAACGTGGAGTTTTTCCTTAGCGGAATCAATCAACAAAACAAAAACAAATCGTTGTGACCTGCAAGGCTGTTCAAAGTTGAAACATTTCTTTATACTTTCCTCTCTGAATTTCTGTATACTGATTCCCAAAAATAATTTACTAGAGCACTAGACGTCGATGCTACAGTGATTTTCCATGGCGAAATCCACGGCAGAAAGAAACTAGCGTCCGGATAGATCATCCATCATACAGGCGGCGGGGGCAGGTCCAGCAGGAGCCAGACGCCGACGCAGCCGTCGGAGTTGAGGTTCTCCTGGATGGCCAGGAAGTGGAGGCCGCCGCTGGCCTTCTTGGCAGCCTCCCAGGCCTCAGCCTCCTGCGTCGCCGCGGGGGTTTTCTGGTACCCGGAGTAGATGTACCGCGTCGAGACCCCCGCCGACAGGATCAGGCTCCCCCTGCCGGTGTCCACCTCCATCGCGCTAATCTCCAAACCGTTCATCCACGCTGAAATGGGGGAGACAGAAAACACAAAGATGAACATCCAGTTGTTCGACATTGTCCCCTTTACAGTATGCAGTTCAAATGCGGTAACTTGTTCTACATCAAATGCATATCCAGTTGTCATTTCTTCTAGACTAGAATCAACTAGATGGTTGTTGTGTGTCTATCATTTCTTCTACATTCTCAAAGTACTAGTGATAAAATTCTGGAACGACACATGTGAGATCATCTCATATGACATGCCAAAACTTGCCTAGGTGCACAACGATTAATCTTTATTGAGTTGTATGCACCGCAAAAAACCTAAGTTGTTGGAGAAAGACACTAGCCAATTTCAATAAGATCATTGTTCATAGAGATCAAAGTGATCAACTGATATACAAGTACTATTTATTTAATAAGAATTTAGTTTTTACCAACAAAAAGCATCTACGTCTCATAATCTTAACATATAGATGCATTTGCATCCAAGCATTAGCCATGACCATGAAAAAAAAAATCGTTGCCAGTTTGCTACACACGTTTTGAATGCTTTGGGGCTTCAGGCTGCTTGTTAATTTCAATACGCCGATCGAGACAGCACATTGTCATTCTTCTATTGTGGCATTGGCGTTGGGTGAATATTTGGTACAGTACAAGCTTACCGGCTAGAGGCTTGGCGCGAGATGATTCCACGGCGACACCAGGGACTAGCGTGCTGTCATCAAGCTCGAACCCCAGCAGATCCAAGTCCAGCCCCGCACCGAATGCGTACCTCCTCCCCACTGATTCCACCTCCTCTCTCACAGCTGCACAACATAAACAATCAGAAGAAGAAGCTCGCTCTGCTCAAGGCCTCATCAATGGCTCAATAATCAAGGTTAATCGATCGCTGTGCCAAATTACCGGAGAACGGGAGCTGCACGAACGCCCACTTGTCGCCGAAGAGGTTCTCGGGGAGCGTGGTGGGGAACGGGTTGTCGAGCGCGAGCAGCGGGCGGGTGCCGGCCTGGAACCCCGGGTGTCGGCTGTACACCACCTCGTACCGCTCCTCCAGCCACAGCAGCAGCGACACGCACCGCCGGCTCGGCACGGCCTTCACGCCCAGCTCGCCGCAGGCGCGGGTGATGATGGTCTGCATCTGGGACCGGAAGAAGCGGACGCGGTCGGGCATGGGCACGCCCAGCGCCTCGGACACGGACGCCAGCGCGTCGCGGAGCGTCACGCTGTTGATGGCGTTGTTGGGGAAGTAGCGCGTGAACTGGAGCGACAGCGTGGCGTCGCAGACCACGAGCTCCCACAGCTTCTTGCCGCGCGCGTCCAGGATCGGCCGCGAGCAGAAGTCCAACTCCCACTCCCGGATCGACTCCGGGTCCGCGTCGGGGTCAAGGTAGCACACCTCCGCCTGCGGGTCCACCTCGTCCACGGGCTCCGCTTCTTCGTCGGTGATGTCAGCCGCGGCGGATGCGGCCGTGGAGCTCTCGGACGAGATGGACCGGCACCGGCGCGACCGCGGCGACGGGCTAGCCGGAACAATCATGCAGCGGGCGGGAGTGACGGGGCGCGCGGAGAGGGAGACCGAGGTGGTGGCTCGCCCTGGCGGGTTAGGGAGGGGGAGGCTGTGGCGCAGGGCGAGGCCATGCCCGGCGACGATGGCGGTGGCGGTCGTCATGCCGGGAGCAGGCAGGCGCCCACGGCCACACGAAGAAGCTAACGCTAGGGATGGCGGTCGCGGCGTGAACCAGTTCATCCACCAAGCAGTGTGGTGATCTCAGTCTTCCGCTTGGACCGTGGGCCGGCCCAAGATCATGAAGAAGCCCACCTAACGGTGAGGGAAGAGGATAACGACGACCTGATTTGGTACAGAAAGAAAGAAAGAAAAACGAAAAACTAGAGGGTGGAAGACGACGGTGTCCGGCGTCCGTAGAAAGAGAGGAGAGGGGGGTAGGAGGCGGGGAGCAGCAAGAATGGCGTGCTCCACTGGTCTCTGCTTCTCGGCGTCGATTCCCCCTCTTCCAGCCTCTTGTTCTTCTGGCTCCTCCCGCTTCCTCACGATCAAGCGTGTGTCCTCTGCTCCGTCCTTGTCCAGGTATGTTCTTGTTTCTTGTTGCCCTGCCTCCATTGATGCAGTATTGCTCTTGGCCAATTCATTAGAGCTTTCTCGAAATCTCAAATTAATTTGCTCGATGATGTTAGATGTTATTTTTCTTGTCAGACGAGAATTTTGCACTGTTGTTCCTGAAGCTAGTCAACACGAAAACCGCTCGGTGTTGGTTTTTATTCTCTGCAATCTTGTGAATTTACCTTTAACTGCTATAGGTATTAAAGAATATTTGGTTGGAACTCCACATTCTGGTGTATCTGGTTGCTTTTCCTACCATATGTAGAATAGTCTCTAGTTACAAGTTCAAAACCTGTTCTTCAGTTACAAACCCTTGGAAAAATTCATTTCGACTTTTTTTACAACTGTGAAACGGTTCAACTTCCTCATTTGGGTTGGCAAGCAGCCAGGAGACCAGTACATTTGAATTAATATCAGTTGATTTTACTTAGTTTACTAATAATAGCTAATTCTGGTTGTGGTTAGTGACATCAATAGTACTCGCATTATAACTTAACTGACCTCTGAGTTATATGTCTTTTCTCTCATAGATGGACAATCCAATACAAGCAATTGGGACATACATTATATCGGAGAAGCCACGTTCTGGCCTTTGCTAGTGCAGATGTATGCATCAGGCTTTGAGTAGGCCATCTATTTTTTAGGGTTGGTAGGACTATGACATTAATAATGTTTGTTGAACATAACTTTATGTGATTTGATATTTTTTATAAGTTTAAGCTCAATTTATTATGCCTATATCCCAACCAGGATACCATAATTCCTTAGTACTCTTCACTTTATGCGTTGTACTAACCCAGGTCCTGGAGAAAGTTATTCAACTTTCTTTAGTGCCAGTTGCTGCATTCTTATTCTTATTCTTATTCTATATAATACATTCTCTCTTGGTAGCTAAACTGTTTTTTTTTTTCAAATGAATCAGGCACCAAAAGGCAAAAGAAGCTCAGGTGAGAATGTTGTGATGGTTGATCCACTGGAAGCTAAGCGCCTAGCTGCTAAACAAATGCAAGAAATTAGGGCCAAAGAAAAGCTGAAGGTGCATTGTTGCTGTATTGGAGTGTATCATTCCTTAGATTAAATCAATCATATATGCTAAAGGAAGGAATCTTCGTAATAAGGAAAAGTGGAAAACATCTGTCTTTTGTTTGGGCCAATAGTTGGTGATGAATCATTGTTTCAAATAACTGGAAACAGAACTAGGCTTTTCCCTGTTCATGTTGTCCTGCAAGTTCCCCATTTCTATTTTTTTTTTCTGTGGATGAAAACTTGATTGCATGTTCTTCAGTTGAGGCATCTAACCTAACTGCAAATGGATGTTCAACTTAATATTACCTAGTGGACTGTACATTGCAGTAATGTTCACATGGACATGGATTATTAATAAAAAAAACTCTACCTGCGGGGGAAATTATAACTTATAAGAGAGATGCTGAAATTCCTTTGGTGATTCAAGAAACATATATGTTTATTATATCACTAATATATTAATTCCACTTTCTGTTAACAAATAGTTATTTCGTCATCCATTAATTGGTGTCTGTTTGTCCTGGAAAACTCGTCTGCTGCACTACCCTCTGAACCCCAATATCAGTCTATGTTCTATTTTGATGCTTCATTGTGTTTTCTTACTCTTCAAATTTGATCCCAATCACTGTGGTCTGTCTTGTAGAGGCGCCGTCAAGCAGAAGCGATCAATGGGGCATTGGCAATGATAGGACTGACTGCTGGATTGGTAGTGGAAGCTCAGACAGGAAAGGGCATCTTAGGGCAGGTACGTAAACTGAATGCAGGAGAAATTCGGTTTTTAGTATATACAAACTTTTATCATAACCAATAACATGACTTGGGAAATGTTATTAATGGACAACAGTGATGCCTGATGCTTGATATTTATTTACTTAGAAACCAGAATGTTAATTACAGTTTTGCGTTACGAATATGTGATCGCGTGCTCATCCATTTCTGCAGCTAGCTGGATATTTGACGGCTATTTCTAGTTTATTTGGGCAATAATACTGGACCATGATTGGAGATTTCTTTTTCATGTTCCTTGGCCAGGAGAGCTCCTATCTGAATCTTATTTGTTGAATCCACCCAATTTTTTGGGAGTTAATCCCAAATGGCTGTGCAATAGCGCACCCAGATTTGTATGTTTATCAAGCACGATAGCATGGGCTGAACATTAATATACGTGTAACAGAGTCGTCCCAACAATTTCTGATTATAGCAGCTGCTAAAGAGCAGTTCTTCATACTTAAATGTGAAATGTTGAAGTCTTTGAGAACTCTTTTCTTTCTTTTGCCAAATCATTGAGCCTGTAAGATGTGGATTGGACTTAGAAGTCTCTGACTGGTTGTTTGTATTTAGTGAGCTGATGACACCTGCAATGGAATGATGAATCTATTGCTAGGGTGTGACTTCATCTTACCATGAAAATGTGGGTACCTCAAGTCTTATTTTTGTATATGTTCTTGTTGATTGATCTTACTATGAAAATGTGGGTACCTCAAGTCTTACTATTATATATGTTCTTTTGTTCTTGTTGATTGAGCTCGAGTGGCAGTGTTCTGTTGTATTTTTTATTTCCAGAGCCTGTGAAGGTCCATGCATGTTAATGAGATATGGGAATTGCACAACTTCAAGCTCAACTTGGAAAACTTCAGGAGCACATCATTAGGAATTTGTTGAAGGTTTTTTTTATGGCAAAGGAGCTGAGCATGAGTGGTATAGATTCACAACATTGGGTGCTTTAGAAGGCTGAGCATGTATGTACAGTTTGAATTCCTAACGTTGTGCTCGCTCTTTCACTCCGCACCGAGCAAGCTAGTTTTTGCCTGTTTGGAACAAAATGGTTTCATTAGAATTTCAGAAGCGCTACGTTAAAGAAAAAAAGAATTTCAGAAGCGCAAGTCATCCTGACTTAGCAAAAAAAATTTGTCATGAGGTTTGCTTATCATCGGTAAGGTTTCCACCATCTCAGAAAAGTTGGATAATGTACCATCCAACCGACGACTCCAGCTAGAACAAATAATCTCATTTTATTTCTTTTTGGACCCCCCTCGTGCTCAAAAACTATTCCTAACACGAATGGACTGGATAGCAGTTCATTGTTCTAGAGCCACTACAAAAACTTTGATTCCCTCTTTTTTTTCCTCATCTAAAAAAATCCCAATTCTGGTTTGAAGCTCATGGCGAAACATCGTCCACATGAATTTTGGATTTAAGAGCAACCTCAACCATTCACACCCACAAATCCAGTGAAACGTCAAGTCCTTGTGAGCCTTTTGTTTTCAACGAAGGGGGCTGGAGTCCTAAATTATATAGTTTTTTTTTAATAAAGGCACTCAAAAGAGTGCATCATATCATGTTGGTGTTTTGGATTACCGGCTAGTAAATTTCTAGTTTGCGTGACTAGCTCGGATGGTGTGATCGGAGGACATAAGGATTATACTGGTTCGGGCAGAACGTCCCTACGTTCAGTTTGCTGTTGCTCGTGTTACCAGCACTGTCTGTAGTAGGGGTTACAGATGAGCGAGAGAGGGAGCGGATCCCAGGTCTCTGGTGGAAAGATTGAAAAGTGCTAAGAGTTTGTTTAGCTGCTCAGCCATGTGCTCGTGCCTATCTCCCTCGTGTTGTGTTGCGTTGTGTTCCCCCTTTTACAGAAGAAGGGGAAGATGCAGGTTACATCAGAAAAAGAGAAGAGAGAGAGAAAGATGGAGAAAATTGAGGAGAAGAAGCCCTCTGGGACTGCTGCATCCTTCTTCTCCTTCATGCGGATCCCGCCGACGCTGTAGACGGTGACGGGGACGGCTCCACGTCGGGCTCCTGTTCACCACTGGTGCTATGTCTCGACGTCATCAGCTGGTCGTAGCGTTCCATCCTGTCCCGGCGAACGGCGTGGTGAACCAACGTGCTTGTCAGTGGCCATACGGGGATTAGGCAGCAAAGCGCCCACGCACCCGTCACTGTTGGCGATGCGAACCCTCGGGCGTGGCCTGTCGTGGCCACGGGTCACGTCAAGATGTGCCCGCACCCCTTCTGGTGTCAGAGGACTTCGAGGGTTTCGATCTTCTGCTGCCCGCAGGACGCCTTGGTGGGTTACGATCCCTTTCTGTTGCGACCAGACTTCTTTTGAGGGCGTGTAGCTGTGGGATTTCTTTGGGGACCGGAGAGGATTTTCCTTAATTCTAGCCCCTCTTAGGACCCGATCGATCCGTCGTTGTCACGCGACCGTGTATTCGGTCTCTTTGTGAGTCCAATTCCCTCGAGCCCTCGCTCGTTGCGGGGTCCGATTGAGGGGTCGCCTCGTCTTGCAATCGTTCTCCCTCAAGCATTTTTTCGACAAAACAGAGGGGTTGAGCCGAGCCATGTTTTCCTCGGTGGATGAACCATGGTGCTCGGTTAGCTGTTAACGGGCTAGTTTGAGTGGGGCCCCGGCGTCCCGTTCGCAGGGGTTTGGCATGGGTCAGCTGGTGATCGACTCCAGATTCCTGATGGCCAATCCATATAGTTCTTGGATTCGTTTGTTCGGTCCCAAGGGCTCACTGCCTTTCTTTGAGGAAAAACCATGGACAACGCGCTGGCCAGGTCTCGAACATGGGCCGGGATGCCCGTAGCGCTCGTGCGCTTGGGAATTGGCCACTAGCAGGTCCATCCTTTTCCACCCCTCACTCTAAAGGTGCCCTAGAGCGGTTGTGAACCCGTCGGTGGGCCAATCTTCGAACTCATGGGCTGTAATGGGCCGTGGGAGCATTTTCAGCCCCGTATCCCTTCCTTACTTGCATCGGTTCTCGGTCATCTTCGCTTTCCATAGAGTCATGGTACTGCTCTGACATCACCTATGCATGCATGGAGGGCCTCGTCAAGCGCGGTCTTCTTCGTGGGAGGACCGACATGATGGAGTGGCTGGTTCCCGAACACGAGGAGGTGCCAATGCTGCCCGATGGTTACATCATCTCCTTCGCGTCCTTCCACGAGCGTGGGCTCGTGATCCCCCTCATCTGTTCTTCTAGGGGGTGCTGCACCACTACCAGATCGAGCTATAGCACCTCAAACCCAATGGGATCTAGCACGTCGTAGCCTTCATTGCAATGTGCGAGGGGTACCTGGGGATCGAGCCGCACTTTGAGTTGTGGAGGTACTTCTTCTCCATCTCCCTACATAGGAAGAAGGACAGAGGCAGGGAGATCCCGGTGCCGATGGGATACGTGGGCATCCACCTCCGAGGGCAGTGGGCGGCCGAGTACATGCCCTGCCAGCTGTCTAGATCCAACATGGGGTGGCACATGCAGTGGTTCTACTTGAAGAATGACCCCGCCGCCCCCTTGCCGGACTTCACCGGGCTCTTGATCGAAGAGGCACCGCCGACGTGGCCATGGGGACCACCCAACAAGGAAAAGAAGAGGATGCGCGACATCCTCGAAGCCGTCGCATCCCTGAGGAGCCATGGACTTCGTGGGGCTGGCGTCATTGGAGCATACCACGCGAGGAGGGTGGCGCCGCTGATGGCGCGCGCCCTCCCGTTGTTCGGGATGATGACGATTGTGGAACTCGTCGGGACGGCGCTCGCCCAGGGGCCGCTTCGCAACAGCGAGATTGCACAGCGCATCAAGGAGGCGATGGACGAGTTCGACACCATGTTCCCAATCCCGAGACATCCCATGATGCGGCTAGAGCCGGGCTTTATCGAGCTGCCAGTGGATTTGGGCTTTCGGGCCTCTATCGCACCATTGTCAGAGCATGCGGCCATGAGGGTGGCAAACCATGCAGCAGATGAGCGAAGGAAGAAGCATAAGGACGACAAGGAGAAGAAATGGTGGGCGAAGGAGCGGGCAAAGCTACAGCGAGGGAAGTGGCGCCAACGCTCGTCGGAGGAGGAAGGGGAGGGGGAAGAAGAAGAGGAGGAGGACGACGACTCTGGGTCGCCCATCCCATGGGATGATCCGGCCGGCGGGGATGAGGGCCCGCCTTCGCCTCAGGCATGGCCCTTCCCATGGCATCTCTTGGAGCAAGAGGGGGAGGACACACCCTCGGAGATGGTGGGAGCGAGCCGCCCCGCTCCATCCGAGCCTTCTACGGTGCCCCCAGAGCCAAGGGGAGCTAGCGGCTCTGCCTCATCCGAGCCTCCTGTCGGTGTTTCGAGTAAACATGTCGCACCCAATTTTGCATAGCAAAACCAAGTACTCATATATGTGCGCCCAAGATGTCCAAACACACACATATATCACAAATTGCAATAGTATCAAAGTAAAGTACTTATTACATCGCATATCTCATCATAAAGTAAATACAAAGTTTGCTCGATGGCAATATTATTACAATCACAGCGGAATAACTAGCCCATCTTCCATAGGGACTCCAACTGGTGAACGTCTCCCTAGTAGTCCTAGACATCCTCTGGAAACTCTTCATATCCATTATCTATTACCCATCTGGGATTTTCATTGGATGTAAATCAAGTGTAAGCTCACCATACTTAGCAAGTATAACAAAGGGATCTATGAGGCTCAAAAAGGCTTGACACTGTTTGACTGTGGTTCGCAATTTTAGTTGATCAATTTTTAGCATCCTGAATCACTACTTTAATGAACAGTCCCAATTCCCAAGTGATATTAAAGTATAGTCATATTTATCTCAATTCCCAACCATCCACCATTCCCAGTAACCACTAATCTTGAAGGATCCAGACCGCTCGTATCCGTGAGCACGGCTGTTATAACAGGTTAATTATTTCTGCAGAAATTGTACATCTTTACCCACCGAGCCGTGATTCCCAATGCCGGGGTTCGTGAGACCCACTACACCTCTTCCTAGGAAGTGTGGCAAGCTTTCACTATGAAACCCTTAGCTAGTTGCACTAACAAGTCGTAGCTACAAAGGAGTGGTACACGTGGGCATCGCAGCACGGTACACCCTAGCAGAAAAAGGAAAGATACCCTCTTACCCTTACTGGAGCTACAGACGAGCTAGTACAATCTAGTTAATAGGTTAAAGTCAGAGCCATATGACACTCGGGGTTGTACGGTCCCTCCTGGGTTGCCGCTTCAGGATTAAGTCCTTATGGAGAGGCACTAGAGTACTCAACCCCATACTCTAGCCCCCTATCTGTTGCTAAAAAGCTCCATTTTATCACATTGTATATAGCCTTTAATCATGTTTCACAATTATTTTATGTTAAGCGTTGCAGCATCTATCCAAAATGCCTACCCAAAATCCCTAGGTATCAAGGATATGTGGTACAAGTAATCATCTAGGTAAAGTCCTTAAAGGCATTTCAAATTAAACACATGCATGAATGTAAGTGGTAATAGTTC